GTTCTCGGCAGATGAAGAACTTTCACTTAGCACTGATGACATCCCAGGTAAACCTGGATAACGATTAGTAAGATACTTCTGAAGTGATTATTTTCTCTTTTTTCTATGATAGGTGACTTTGACAATCATATTTGAAAGCAGAACTATTTGATATAAAAGTGAAGTATTTGTTAACTGTTATTTTTCGTTTGGACTTTCGATCCATTATGTTTTTACTGTCTTCAAACATTAAGGATATGTATCATGTGTTTCTAGTCAGCTTTAGAAGAAGGAAAATAGCAGTAATTTATTTCATTCATGGTTCAGCTTATATGGATGTTTGATTTCAATGTGGAAAACTAAATGAAATATTGAGAAAAATCCTTTTTCTTGTTTGGTGGTGTTGTAGAACGGGTAAAAATTCCATTCGCGATAACTATACTTTCACTCTAGTTCGGTTATCTGTACTTCAATTTGGATAACTATACTTTATTCTAATTTCATTCATGTAACTACACTTTAATTTGCTTTCGTAACTATACTTTAATTTGATTTCAATTAAGGTAATTTTGTCCAACTCCACTAATGATAATTGGTGATGTGTCCGATAATAAACGATGGTTATCACAAACCTTAGTTACTGCTAAAATAAGTACAATTTCATTAGAATTGAAGAGAACGAAATATTTTGGTGAGAAGAAGATAATTATCTTCCCCTCCTCAACTTCATTATATAGAGACTTTAAGAGTACACGTATGAAAAATTTGTAAATAAAGAAACATAATAACCCATAATTATACTCTTGCCTATTATATTTGCTTGTCTAATATATGGGATTCCTAATTTATTTTCTTAACACTTGCCATCAAGCTGGAGCATATATATCATATAAGCCCAGCTTGGAACAAAGAAATCTCAATTGATTGTCGTTCAAGGACTTCGTAAACACATCTGCAAGCTGGTCTCGGTTTTCACAAATGGTGTACATATATGACCACTCACTATCTTGTCCCGAACAAAGTGACAGTCAACTTCAATATGCTTGGTCCTCTCATGAAAGACTGGATTGGATGCAATATGTAGAGTAGACTGATTATCACAGAATATCGGTATAGAAGAATGTGAGAAATTGATTTCTTGAAGAAAGTGCTGCAACCAAGTCACCTCACTAGCGGTATGAGCCATCACCCTATATTCTGCTTCTGCACTTGACCTTGCTACTGCAGTTTGTTTCTTACTTTTCCAAGAG